CCCTCAGCCCCAGCAGCTGCTCCCCTGACAATCCCCACCCCTCCCTCCAGCCCCCCACCTCTAATGATCTGTGAAATGGATGTGCGTGGCCTTTTTAAATATCAAAGGATCAGAAAGGCACCAGGCCCAGATGGTGTGACCCCCTCCTGCCTGAAAGTGTGCGCTGATCAGCTGGCCCCCATCTTCACACTTATCTTCAACAGGTCACTGGAGCTGTGTGAAGTCCCCTCCTGCTTCAAACGCTCCACCATCATTCCAGTCCCCAAGAAAACCTCCATCAGTGGACTGAACGACTACAGACCTGTGGCCCTGACATCTGTAGTTATGAAGTCCTTTGAAAGACTGGTGTCGGCCCACCTGAAGGACATTGTAGACTCCCCGCAGTCCCCCTGCAGTTTGCCTACCAGGCAAACAGGTCAGTGGACAATGCAGTGAACATGGCACTGCATTACATCCTGCAACACCTCGACTCCCCAGGGACCAAAGCAAGGGGACAAACACTGTCATCCCGGACACCCTCCACTCCAAACTGACCCAGCTCACTGTGCCTGCCCCCACCTGTCAGTGGATTACTAGCTTTCTGACAGACAGGAAGCAGCAGGTGAGGCTGGGGAAAACCACATCCAGCACCCGGACAATAAGCACAAGTGCCCCCCAGGGATGTGTGCTCTCCCCTCTGCTGTTTTCACTCTACACCAATGACTGCATCTCGAAGGACCCCTCTGTCAAGCTCCTAAACATTGCAGATGACACAACAGTCACTGGTCTCATCCGAGACGATGACGAGTCAGCCTACAGACGGGAGGTTGAGCAACTGGTCCTGTGGTGTAGCCACAACAACCTGGAGCTGAACATGCTCAAAACAGTGGACTTCAGGAAACAGGGTGGAGAGGATCACTGCAGACCCCTCACATCTGGGACACAATCTGCTCAAACTCCTCCCCTCTGGATGGTGTTAGAGGTCACTGTGCACTAAGACAACCAGGTCACTGTGCACTAAGACAACCAGGCACAGGGATAGTTTCTTCCCCCAGGCTGTCGCTCTGATGAACACTTAACCCACGACCGTCT